GTCGGTCTCCTGGTTAGCAGCACAATGCTCAACCACATCAGGGCTCCTGATGAGTATCCTCTTGGAACACAGTCTAAAGCAGTTGGAAGAAAGGCCTGGCAAGCGACAAGTGCGCAGAGATGAATGTTGCAACCAAATCACCGAAACGGTTCTTAAATGACAAAATCAAGAGGTGCAGCTACTGTTTCTTGAGACACCGGCGCCCATGTAGGGCCACCCACTTGTGCAGCCTTCCCTCTCAGCCTTCCCAGAAGGAGCCTGCGCTCCTGATCGACACCCTTGATCACATTGTCAGTGGCAATGTTGACATACTCGTGAGACTCAAACCAGGCTCCTTGGCAATGTCTTTTGAGTTTGGGGAACAATAAGAAGTCTGAAGGGGTAAGATCAAGTGTGCCGGGTGGATGGGGGAAGGTTTCCCAAGGAAATTCTCCTGGGATAGCAAGCCCATCCTTTGAAGGAGGAAGTGCATCTTGGTGATGGGGAAGTAAACAGGACTCGGTGCACCTCTCCTGGCCTTTTCCTGACCGGCACAGTTGTCCATTTCCTTCAGACTTCTGCATAATTAGCCACCACGGCTGTCCTACGCCCTTCAAGAGAATCTATCCAGATCCGCCCCCTCCCCGCGGAATTTCAAAAGCAGCCGCTAGAACCTTCTGCACCGGCATCTGTGCCTGCACGTTAACTGGCCCAGCAGATCCGCTCAGAAGTCGCGTCTGTTTGGGTCGGACCGTTCCTTTTTGAAGACATCTCAATGAGCCGCAGAAGGTGTATGCTGGAGAGATGTTCTCAGCGGCCCTCCCTCCCCTGATTGCAGTCACATTTTAATACGCGTTGTTTGGAAGAAGCCCCCGCATGTATGAGCTGCAGCCCGAGTAGCAGTTATTTTTTTTTAAGCGTTTTATTCGGGGCTCATACAACTCTTATCATAATCCATACATACAACAATTGTGTAGAGCACATTTGTACATTCATTGCTCTCATCATTCTCAAAACATTTGTTCTCCACTTAAGCCCCCGGCATCAGGTCCTCATTTTCCCCCTCCCTCCCCGCTGCCCCCTCCCTCATGAGCCTTTGATAATTTATAAAGTATTATTTTGTCATATCTTGCCCTGTCCGACGTCTCCCTTCACCCACTTTTCTGTTGTCCATCCCCCAGGGAGGAGATCACATGTAGATCCTTGTAATCGGTTCCCCCTTTCCAACCCACTCTCCCTCTACCCTCCCAGTATCGCCACTCACACCACTGGTCCTGAAGGGATCATCCACCCTGGATTCCCTGTGTTTCCAGTTCCTATCTGTACCAGTGTACATGCTCTGGTCTAGCCAGACTTGCAAGGTAGAATTGGGATCATGATAGTGGGGGCGGGGAGGAAGCATTTAGGAGCCAGAGGAAAGTTGTATGTTTCATCGTTGCTACATCGCACCCTGACTGGCTCGTCTCTTCCCCGAGACCCTTCTGTAAGGGGATCTCCGGTGGCCTACAAGTAGCAGTTATTTTTGATGAACCTTCATCCTCCCCAAACATAGTCAGTGAAAGCCCCACAGATGACGGGAATCTGAACAGACATCACGGCGCTGAGGTCACCATGCATCACAGGCTGTCTCTGCCGGAGCGAACACAGTAACCACAGTCAAGAGTGCCGTGGGAGACATTGTTTTAGGCGCTGCCGAATCAGCTCTGACGATGGCAGCCCTAGAACTCGAGAGTCACCTGCACCAGTCACCGCTTTGTGTGAGCCAGCTGTTGCAGCCACTATGTGAAGTGACCTTGCTGCAGGACTTCTTTTCAGCTCATTTTCTACTTGACTAAGCATGATATCCTTCGAGAGGGAGCCCCGTTGGCGTTGGCGTCTGGGCAAATGCTGGACAAGGTCAGTGGTTCAAACCCACCAGCCATTCCAAAGGAGAAAGATGAGGCTGCTATCTGCTTGTTAGAGTAAATCAGGCGCTAACAATCTCGAGGTCCGTAAGCGCAACTGTACGGTTATAATGGATAAAGTTTTTAGTAAAGGCATAGGGGATAGGAGGGATAGGTAGGGGGGAAGACAAATAAAGGAGTCAGACACATTGCATGGCAGCATGCTCACCTCCGGGATGGCCGTGATCTCAGCAGCCAGGTCTGAGCAGAGAGGCATCTTTCTGTTTTGGGATATTTGTCGGTCGCCATAAGACATGTATATTCAGTAGTTACATACGTCACAAGGTGGGTGGTCACCACAGTAAAGGCCCTGAGCTCACAGGTGAGGAAACCTAATGCTGGCATTGGGGGAAGGCATAAGAGGGGGATGGGTGCCGAGGCGGGAGGAGATAACAAGAATGTCTGCTTCTACAGGGAGACAGAATCCACCATGTGCTCACTTTAAGGCACCATAGCTGTTCGGGGGGAATCTGTGGGAATGATCTTTAACGCAGGCTAATGTACTTGTACGTCATCTCTAACTTACCAAAGCGGTGGCTTTCCTACCGTGGAATGCTAGCGTTCCAGATTCCCTCTGTTATAGGTTAGGGAATATAGTCCCGGTCCTATTTCTCTCTGTATCCGTTCCCCACATCTGCTCCCACAAATATTTATAGCCTCAGGAGCCCTGTAAGGTTACGGTGAGGGGGACCAACTTGATGGTGGCGGGTTTGGCCTACTCTCCTTCAGGCTGCCAGGACACACCTGCCGAGGGAGACGGATGAGGCTGTCTTGGCTGTCTTCTCGGTCAAGGTCTACAGGCACCCGAGAGCAGTTCAGCTCTGGGTTACTGGGCGGCTCTGAGCCTGACTAGGCTCCGTGGCGCTGAGTGTGTGGCAGGTTGGCCTGGCACAATGCAATGCACCATCGATAGTCTGGAAAGCTGACCAAGCGGTGGGTCCGAAACATCTACACAGATACAGGTGCCATTTGTGGAAGGCAATTGGGTGCTCACGGTAGTCAATTCTACCAGGAGGGGCAGAGCTGTTTCCAGGAAATGCATTTGGAGGTAAACTTTTGCCTTTTTAATTCTAGACATTTTCAACTCTCCTGTATCTTTGTGTTGTGGTGAGAACTAGGGTCCATCCGAGGCAAATTAGAAATCCACGCATTTGTGAGAACCCCCTGCCATCTAGTCAGTTCTGACTCAAGGCAACCCTGTAAGGCATTGCCCCACAAGGTGTGTCCAAAGCAGAAGGTCACATCTTGTTCCCTCGGGGTGACTTTCCCTTTTCAGTCAGGCGCTGTAACCACTGCACCACTGGCACTTCGTGAACTTGTGAAAAACCTGGAAAAAGAATCCTTCCCTCGCTGAGTAGGGCCCGGGTCCAAGCTGTTTCAGAGAGCCCCTGGTTGTCTCTTTCAGGGTGGTTCTAGTGGAAAGCGACCCCTAGCTCTGGCTTCTATGACTCACTCCGACTGGGAACCTCACCCCCAGCCCTCCACTAGGATAGCCCCAGCCAGGCCCAGCCCTTCCCTGCTCCTGCCCCTTCCTCCTCCCTTGCCCCTCCCCTCCTTGCCTCCCTCCCTCCCTTCCAGGGCTGTAACTCCAGCCAGCTGCAGGAGTGCAGAAGACCGCCTCTCTCCCTCTCCCTCTCCCTCTCCTCTCTCCTCTCCGGCAGGCCAGGCCGACCCTACCTTCTCGCCAGAGTTGTGGGAACCCGAGGCGGCCAGCAACATGAAGCTGGTCCGCACTCTGCTCCCCCTGCTACTGCAAGCCTGCTGGGCCACCGCCCAGGACATCCCGGAGGACTCAAAACTCTTTGCGTTCCAAGGTGAGCGGGCTCACCCCATCTTTGTCGCCTTGTCTCTGCCACCAGGATGCGGGGCTCTGCCAGGCAGGGGGACCCTGTGCCCTCCCATTTTCTGAGCTGTAGGTGAGGAGCCCTTGGGGGGGGTGCTTAGTGTCCCTCTCCTCCGTCCCCAGGAAGGCCTCTGGGCTGCATTACCTCCGGTGTCTCCACTGTTGAAGGGACGCTAGGCCGAAGGTTGGGGGGACCCACCAGCGAGGAGGAGCTGATGACATCATCCCGGTCTTAGTTTGTTCCCACCATTTTGCATGGATGGGGCCTAATCTTCTGCCCCGGAGGTCACCATGATGTCTAAGGGCTGCTTTTCCATAGCTCGGTCCATTGCCTCTGACTCCTTGCCTGGCAGCCCGTCGTGGTATTCAGATCACTGCCCCATCTGAAGGCCACCCCTTGGGAGATGGGGCAGGGGGCAGGGGTTGAAGTTGATTTGGAAACTTCCTGGGGAAATGGTCAGAGCTGTCAAGTCCTCAAAGATAGGTTTGTTGGTTGCAAGGCAGGCCGTCCGCTCCACACTGGGTGCCATGTCAGAGACATAAGCAGGGGTCTCTCGCCTCAGCCCCTCTCCTCTCCTCAAGGTGGGCCCTTTGCTATTGAGGGCGTGGTTGTTCACCTGGGAGGGTGCTGCAGCTCACCTGGGTAGGGAGAATGGGCAGTGCTGAGGCTGGGGGTGGGAGCTGGCAAGAAGACTCACTTGGGCCAAGGCGCCAGGGTACAAGCCTGAAGCCCCTCTTATCCCACCTGTACTCAGACTGCCCAGTGGACCTGTTTTTTGTGCTGGACACTTCTGAAAGTGTGGCCTTGAGGCTGAAGCCCTATGGGGCCCTGGTGGACAGGGTGAAGGCCTTCACCAAGCGCTTCATTGACAACCTGAGAGACAGGTAAGAATGGAGCCCCCCTCACCCTCTCCGTCTGCGTTGCTACCAACACTCCCACAGAGAGCTTCCCCATCTGGGAAGAGAGAGTGTTGGCTATATAGCGCCCCTCCCTAACACTAGAGTGGTGCATAGGGGTTCCACGTGGCCCCAGACTTTCAGATAACACTCTGTCTAATGTGAGGTTCACTGTATCCCCAGAAAAGGAAGCTTTCCTTCTGCAAATTCACTCCATTGGTAAGAATCCGGCAGATCTTGCAGTTTGGCCTGCTAACTGCAGAGGGCGCCCCTCTTTCACACCTGGAAGGGATGCCCAAATGGGTTAGGTCCTCTTCCCACTCAAGGCCTCCAGTTAAAGGGGCCCCAGGTGTTGGTGACTCCAAGGTGCTAGGGTCTGTGAGAGGCAGAAACAGCAGGCCTCAGGTGCCAGACTAGGCGGGGCTTGGTTCTGGAGTCTGATTGCATCTGCTCATTCATTTAGTGGTCATCCATCCGATGAATCCACACAAGAGGCAGGCGTAGGCCCAGCAGAGGGAGCAGAGAGACACAGACCAGGGAACTCCATGTGGTGGGCACTGGGTGTAACTGGGCCTGTGGACACGCCCACCCTGAGTGCTAGGGTCCTGTGGGAGGTGCATCTCCCCGTCACCTATGATGGGGGAGCCCCCACTACTCTGCAGCCAGTGGGGGTGCACACAAGGGCTCAGTCAGTGCAGACCCTGCCATCCCTGACAATGTCTGCTATCAGTTCCTGGAGCCCTGTGGAGACCTTGAGCCTCTTGCCCCCCAGAAGCGGTCATGGGGACCACGCCCTTCCACCACTCAAGAAATGTGTGGAACCAGAAGCCACTGTTTGCCTGCAATGCCCGTGTCCATGAGTTGGCCAGGAGGTGGGGGTGGGGATGGGCTGGGGCCCAGATAGTTGGGCCTGGTGGCCTACTGGTTTTAAGTTCAGCTGCTAACAGCAAGGTCAGCAGTTCAAACCTCCCTGCCGAGCTGCAGGAGAAAGAGCAGGCTTTCCTCTCCCATAAAGAGTTAGTCTTGGAAACCCACAGGGGCAGTTCTACCCTGTCATCATCGACTCAGTGGCAGTGAGTTTGGTTTGGTTTGGCGAAGGTGAGAGCTGTGGGGCCCGCCAGGTCAACCACCCCCAATGCCGTTGACCTATTTCTCGGACTCTCGGGCCTTCACTCTCCCCATCTGGAAAATGGCTGGTGTCTCCCTTGCGAATGTTCTAGTCCACCGCAGTAAGTGGCTGCCTGCAAGGCTGCGGGGAGGGGTTGGGCAGCACCTTCACCCTACAGGAGAAGGGACAGGGGTCTCTTTCTGACAGTGAAGGTCCCAGGCCTGCTGTCACCTCTTGAACATCTGCACATTGGGCATGGCAAGTCAGCCCCTTGGCCCTGACCCCGCCCATTCCCTTGCTCTGGCTGGGGCCTTCTTAAGTCTCACAGGGTCACGGGGTCCCTGGGCTGCTTGAGGCCCTGGGTCCCACTGCCCATGTCATTCCCAGGGTGGGCTCAAACATGGTGCGTTTCTCCAGCCCAGCTCGTGAGTGGCTTTTCCACCCATGCGGCAGGTGGCAGTGGTGACCATCCATCCGTGGGGTGTGCGATGGGGCGGCACAGGGGCCCAGACTGCGCTCACCTGCACTGGGGTCCCTGGGGGTGGCCCAGATCCACTCTTATCCCCAGCCCCTCAGTCATCCTCTCGGGGGCCTGCAGGTACTACCGGTGTGACCGTAACCTGGTGTGGAACGCAGGCGCGCTGCACTACAGCGACGAGGTGGAGATCATCAGCGGGCTGACGCGCATGCCCAGCGGCCGCGATGCGCTCAAGGGCAGCGTGGACGCCGTCAAGTACTTCGGCAAGGGCACCTACACCGACTGCGCCATCAAGAAGGGGCTGGAGGAGCTGCTGATCGGGTGAGTGGGCCCGGAGCCGCCCATGCCCCTCTGCCCTTCCCGCCCGGGTCCACACACACCTTTTGGGGACGCTGCCCGGCCCTGGCTGGGTGGGCTGTGGCCAGGGCAGGGCCAAGCGGATGTCCATTGGCACACCACGTGGTACAGTACAGAGACAGGGCCTGAGAGGGTGGAAACAGAGATGGAAACACTCGCAGAGAGACAGAGGGAGATGGGGAGGGGGGTGGGCAGAGAGAAGGTGGAGAGATAGAGGAAGATGGGGGTTGGGGGCAGAGAGAAGGTGGGGGCAGGGAAAGGAGTCAGTGTTCTGAAGACAGCAGTCCTGCTGTGGCTGTGGCCAGGGTGTGGAGTGGGTCGGGTGACTGGCCAGTAACAGTTAGGATGGGCATCGTGGTCCATTGGTCGAGTGACTGGATCTTTGGCCTCTACACCCCTCTCACCTGGCGCGCAGGTTCCCAGATGCCTGCTCTAGCCATCTGGTGGGGCATGTGCCCCCATGGTCCTCGGATGCGATTGTAGTCTTGAGCCTGGGCAGGAGCCCTGGGGAGGAGGGAGACAGGTTTCTTTGCTCCAAAACCTACCCAGAGGCCATGAGCTGTCAGGTGACAATGACCCAGTGCTGGCCACTGGTGTGCAGTTAACCTGTCATGACACAGGGGCTGGCTCAGAGGGTCCACGGGGCTGGTCCCCAGTGCCAGCTGGCTGGCCTGAGACGTGGGTTCTTTGGAGCTTCTGTAACAAAAATGCTCCCCCACCCCCGGGGACGGGGGGCGGCTTCAACAAAGGGGACTTTATTTTTCACAGTTCAGGGGGCTGGAGGTCTGAACGCAGGGCACTGGCCTAGGGGCAGGCCACCCATCTGTGTCAGCTCTGAGGAAGGCTCTTGTCTGGTCGCTTGGTTTTCTGTGTGCCTCATCGCACCCTTTCATATCTTACAAGTCATGGGTTTAAGACATACGTACTCTGTCCCTATATGGTCTCATGAACAGGACAAAGAAAAGTCCATTCCCAAACAGGGCCACTTTCACACGTATACACCAAGACCCAAGCCCATTTCCACCAGGTCAATGTCTTCTCACGGGGACCCTTCTTTCCCAGGGTCTTTGCAACTGTAAACCTTTCCCCAGGACGGCTGGTGGGCTTGGCCTTGTAGTTAGTAGCCCTGGGCATAACCCACAGACTTACTGGGTGCCACCAGTGTAGGGGGTTCGGCTTCGCAGCACATCTCTGGGGGGTGAGGAGTTGGCACAGTTCAGTCTGTATCACTGGGTGTCAGCCACCCAAATATGGAAGGGAATGGCCAAGTCCCAGTGGCACTGTGCTAGGGAGAATGTGGGGGGGGCGGGGCTGGGAGACTGCCCCCTACTGAGTCCAGGTGACGTCTGAGGAGGCCAGCCCTGCTGGTGTTCATGGAGAGGGGCTTGGGCATCCCTGACCCGGCTCAGCCCAACCTTTGTGCGGTGCCTCCTTTGGCTGAGTCCCTAGGAGGTGAACTAGCGCAGGCTCCCCCCGCAGGCACCCACTCCAGGAATGGTAAAACCGCACCAAGGGAGTGCGGATGGCAAGACAGAGGAGGCCAGGCTGGCAGGAGGAGGCAGCAAGAGGTGGCAGTGCACCATGGGGAGAGGGGTGGGGGGGATGAGGAGGGTTAGAGGGAGGGAAGGATGCTGGGTTGAGGGATGTCACCGGAGAAGTCGACAGCAAGGCCGCATGTGCGAGCGCTGTCTACCCTAAAGAGACGCGCGTGCGTCCATGCGGAGAACACGCAGAGCGTTTCCGTGCGGCCCGGGAGAGGCTGCGGGGTCCGTGCAGGCATGGCCGCCTGCGGGGCGGGGAGGCTCCGTGGGTTTGATCTCCAAGGGCGGGCGGGCAGCAGGTCGGTCGGTGCCATTTCCGCACAGCGTGCGCTCACGACGTGCCTCTCCTTCGCATTCCGGTCCTGCTCCGCGTCTTTCAAACTTTCGCGGATGGCTGTTGTCCGCAGAATAGGCTACAAGGTCGTGGAACTCCTGTGACTCCTCAACGCACCAAGGGATGGAAAGAGTCATGAGAACCGCTTGATTGGGATACTGGCTCCGTGGCAGGACCTGGAGCCTGCCGGCAGTGCCTCTGTGCTTCCCATCTTTGCAGTTTTCATCTTTGCCCTCTAAGGCGAACCCCCTCTTCTGTTTTTCTCCTGAGAAGAGGTCCTGCTGTACGTTTGAGAGTGGTTTGGGGCTGAGGCTCTCTGTGGAGTAACCTGATAGTTTCCATTTCCTGCACAAACAAGTGGTGTCCCAGCAGCTGTCAGGAGCCTTGGGGACTGCAAGCGGTTTGACACCACCAGCACTCTGTGGGAGAAAGACGCGACTTTCAGCTCCTGTAGAGAGTGACAGCATTGGAAACCCACAGGGGCAGTGCTGCCCCTTCCTAGAGAGGTCAGATGAGTGAGTTTGGGGGATTTTTGGAAGCACCTATCGAGCAGCTATCTAGTAAGCATTGGACTACTAACTACAAGGTCAGCAGTTCAAACCCACCGGCCACTCAGAGGGAGAAAGAGGAGGCCACCTGCTCCTGTAAAGATTCACAACCTCCAACCCCCCTATAGGGGGCACTTTGAGTTGGAATGGACTTGGTGGCAGTGCATTTGGTCTGGGTTAAGCAACTATTGGTTTCAGCAGTGGACCGACAAGCTCAGCCCAAGCAGCTCAGCTGTCACACATTGAATCACATTGTCATTTCATGTTCCCAGAGTGGGCAGTGGGCACCAGCTGGCAAGCACTCTCGCGGTTCCTCTCTGCAGTGAGATGGTATGTTAGGCGGGGTTCTCTAGACAAAAAAACAAACCAGGACACATGATTATATAGCTATAAATAGCTATAGATATAGGTTTATATAGTGAGAAGGAATATAACAGCTAATTAGTCCACACAGTAATACTCATTTCTGGAGTACAGTTAATATACTGGAAGTTCTTAATCTCACATGGGCTTCCAGGCCCAAGATCAAGAAAGTAGACAGCAGAGACTTCCCTCGGGCAAGGCAGGCAGAGTCTGCCCCCAAGGCAGCTGACAGCAGGGTGGGTCAGCAACAGTCAGTAGCTTTGGCTAGCAGAGCAGGCCTGAATGGGATCTTGAACTCAAGCATTGCAAGGTGACAATATCCACCATACGCAAACTCAAGCGATGTACCCATCAGCAGTGTAGCAAATCAGGTCTAAAAGGAACCTGAAGCTCTAGCAACCTGATCCACGATCCAAGGGTTGGCTTGGTGCACAGGTAGTGTAACACACGGATTGAGGCAGAGAACTAGCTAAAGCAGCAGCATGCTGGTCCAATCACCAGAGAGCAAGAGAGAGGGGGCGGGCCTTGCAGAGTCATTTATCTCTTTGCCCTCCAATCAAACTGTGGCGTGAGTCTTTTATCTCTTCCCCCTCCAATTAAACTCTGGCCTGATGAATCCCACATGTTCCTATTGGCCAGGTTGACACAGTAAACTTTATTACAGGTGCCGGCCGTGCAACCTCTCTCCGGTGTACATGCCTGTTTCAAATCACTTGTGGGGACATGTGGCCCACACACAGATTTATTTTTGTTTCAGTGCCCCTTTTATCATCTCTGTTGGGAGCTAGGATCAACATAGAGAAACAAAGTGTTCAAATGCAACAGATTATGAGTCATGTCCCCACACTGCACACACCTCCCTTGTCCCTTCCCTGCAGTCTCTACTCCAAGGAGTCTGCTTGGTGGGCTCTGCAGTGTTGGTGCAGATGCCCTGAGCCCTTAGAGGCTACTTGGGTGATCTGACCATGCCTTACCTCTTCCAGGGGCTCCCACCTGAAGGAGAACAAGTACCTGATCGTGGTGACAGATGGGCACCCCCTGGAGGGCTACAAGGAGCCATGTGGTGGCCTGGAGGATGCTGTCAACGAGGCCAAGCACCTGGGCATCAAAGTTTTCTCAGTGGCCATCACACCTGACCACCTGGTAGGACCTCAGCAGCACTCTCTCATCCCCACACAGCTGAGGCCGGTCTGCAGAGGGCACAGGCACCCCTCCTCCTCATGACCTTGATCTCTGCACCCTGCCCAGATGCATACTTGGGGCCCACCTCGAGGGCCCCATCTCCCCATGACCCTCATGCGCCCGAGCCCTGGGGCTCCTATGTGAGGGCGGGGCCAGGCTGATGGGCGGCCTCAGGATAGTGGGGCCACTCCCGAGCCGTGGCCCCAACGTGCCCTCCTCATTTGCATCATGCCCTGCTCAGGAGCCACGGCTGAGCACCATCGCCTCCGACCACACGTACCGACGCAACTTCACGGCGGCCGACTGGGACATGAGCAGGGACGCCGAGGAGATCATCAGCCAGACCATTGACACCATCATCGACATGATTGTGAGTGACCAGCCTGGACTCTTGTTCAGAATACTGGGACATTCCGTGGCCACACACGAAAATTAATCCGACCTCTCTATTTCATTTTCCAGAAAAACAACGTGGAGCAAGTGGTGAGACCCCGCCCCACCCCTCATCAACAGGGGGCCACCTGCCCCCTCCCACCGGCCCTAACCATACCCCACTCCCCAGCTCTCACCCTCACCGCTGGGTGATTGATGGTCCCAGGTGCCTCTGGGGTCATGGTATACACAATCCTGAGCATGTCAGGTTGGGGCAGGTGTTGGGGGCCCATCTGTACCCTCAGTGTCTGATGTGTGGCTTCTGTCCTCTCCCACAGTGCTGCTCCTTCGAGTGCCAGGTGAGTGGGGTGTAGCTGTCCTCCAGGCCTGGGGCCCCCCTGATGCTGTCTTGGCCTGACTTTTCTCTCTGTCTTGCAGCCTGCTAGGGGGCCTCCCGGATCCAGGGGTGATCCCGGGAACCAGGTGAGTCACCACGATGGCTCTATGCCCGAGACCAGTGACCGAGGCCAATGAAGCTGGTGGGAGAACGGGCCTCCCAGCCCCAGGCCCAGGGTGTAGGATACGGAGGTGCTGGACTGAGGTGGGAAAGGGCTGATAAGGGACCCTGGCCTCAGAGAGCCCGGAGACACCAGGCAGGTGGGGTGAGAGCAACACCTATGGCTACATGAAGTGTAGTGGCACCTAGGCCCTCCAGATCCCCCCCGCCCACCTTCTCCATCCCCGGCCGTCGGGGAGCAGGAGGAAGGCAGGGGCCATGGTAGAGGGCATGGTAGAGGCCATGGCCCATCTGAAGGAGACTGTCGGCATGCCGTGGACCCATAGCCCGCTCCACCAGGAACAGGGTGTGTGTGTGTGTGTGTGTGTGGAGTGGTGGAAGTGGGGGCTCAGCTCTCACAGCTTGGGACACTGTACACCAAGCCTAGGTTTCTGGGGACCCAGACCCCTTCCTGGGGCATGGGAATGGGGAAGCAGCACGGTGGTCTGGAGGGCTGGGTGGGGCGTGACAGCTTGTGGCCCTGAGCTTTGAGTCCAGGGCAGGCTGAGAGTGACAGACAGGGCGCCTGAGCCCCAGGACCCTGCCGGGTGGGGAGTCTCAGGGGAGATGCTGCAAGCGCTCTCACCACCCCACCTGTGTCTGTGTTCCAGGGAGAACGTGGGAAGCCGGGGCTTCCTGGAGAGAAGGGAGAAGCTGGAGAACCCGTGAGTACCAGCCAGGAGGGCACGGGGCCTGGGGTGGGACATTGAAGAACCTTCTGGAAAGATGACTGGTTTCTGGCTGCCGCTGCCCTGGCAGGTGGAGAAGACCAGGAGGCTGGCCCAGACCCCTCCTTCCAAAAGTCTGCAGGCCTCCAGACGGCCCTGCTTGCCCTCGGGTGGGACTGTGACTGGGTCCTGGGTTTCCTCCTGATACCTGCCCTCCACCACCACCCTGCCCACACACAGGCTCTGGTGGCCAATCCCTCAGTGAGGGCTCCCAGCCAGGTGTCCCCCGAGACCACCAGCATCTCCCACCCCTCCCCGAGGAGGGAGGGCCTGGCCAGTCCCAAGGAGCTGGCATTCCTGAGCAGAAGAAGTGGGTAGACAGGCTCTGACTGCCCCTCTACGGTGTCTGACAAGACCCCTCCTCTCTGTTCCAGGGAAGGCCAGGAGACCTTGGACCTATCGGCTACCAGGGAATGAAGGTGAGCTCCCCCACCCACCCCACCCCTTCTGTGGAGCTCCTGGGCTGAGCACCCAGCTGCCCTCACAGCCTCCCCTCTTCTCTGCTTTGATGTTTAGGGAGAAAAAGGAGGCCGCGGGGAGAAGGTGAGCAAGAAGCGAGGGCCACAGCCTCCCAATGGGCTCAGGGGCCGTGTCCTCCCAGTGAGGGCCTGAGGATCTGTGGACATGGCCTTGGCCCAGGTTGTTCCTTCCTTACCCGGCGAGAGGCCAGTGGGTATGACCCCCGCGCTGCAAGGTCCTAACACGAGAGGCAGAGGTCAGCCCACATCCTGGTCCCAGAGTGTGTGGTGACAGGCCCCTCCCTGCCACCCCTCCCTCTGGCACCTCTGGGGGGTGGGGGGCCAATGGGCTCCTGGTGAGCTGTGCCTGCGGGCTTTCTGCTGCTGTCCTTGGGGTTCCGGAGGTGGTCGCTGGAAGACCCTCAGCACAGCCCCTTCCAGGAGCTGTGCCTTGTCTCCCTCCCTCCCTGGTTTGGGGGCATTTTGGCCTGCCCCCATGTGACCTGAGCAGGATGCCTTCAATTGACCTCAAACGGGGCCAGCGCGTGTTGGGAGGTCTGCTCCGGGGTCCAGGCCTGCCTCACTGTGCCCCCTATGTCCACAGGGCTCGAGAGGACCCAAGGGCTACAAGGTGAGTTGCGGGTCAGGGATGTGAGGGTGCGGGTTAGGGACATGAGCTGCTGGCCCCGGTGGGCCCCGGACACCCGTGTCTGACCTGCTGTTTCTGCTCCGTGCCTCGCAGGGTGAGAAAGGCAAGCGAGGCATCGATGGTGTGGACGGCATGAAGGTAAGCCCTAGCTGGTGGGAGAAAGTGGATGGCACGGGTACAGGCACTACAAGCAGTGCCAGACCTCTGGCTCAGGCGGGCAGGCGGGCGGGATGTCACAAGCATGGACATTCTCAGGCCAACACTGAGTAGGTGTGAAAGGCAGAGGCCTCTTCTGGACGTTTCTCGCCAATCCCCAGGTCCCAGTGGACCCCATGCTGCCCAATTAATCTTGGAGCATGGACTGGTCTTGTGGGCTTTCCTGAGAGGGACACTGCAGAGGGGTGGGGAGGTTTGAGGTGGAATCCGTCTTCATTTTCCACATCACCACCTCATCCCTTCCTTCCTTCTCCCAGGGGGAAATAGGATACCCGGGTCTGCCAGGCTGCAAGGGCTCACCTGGATTCGACGTAAGTCCCTCCCTCTCCTGTGCGCTGTCAGCCACACTCTTGGCTCGGGCTTCAACAGGGTTTGCGTCTGTGCGCGCCCCCAGGACGCTTGGTGAGGCCGCACCAGCTTCTGCTCACGCGACAGTGCCTTGATGTCGTCTTTTCACAGGGCGTCCAAGGACCGCCTGGGCCCAAGGGAGATGCTGGCTCATTTGGACCCAAGGGAGAAAAGGTCAGTGACCGGTGTCCCTCGGGCTGTGGGGAGCAGGGGTCCATTGTGCCTCTGCCCACCTCTGCCATGCAGCCTCGGGGGCAGGAGCCCTCAGACATCCCTGCCCTCCATGTGGTCAAGGCCAGGGCAGCAGCTGTGGGCACCCTGACAGAGCAGAATTCTGGATCCATTCTCAAGCCGTGGTGACCCACATTGTTTGAACCCCAACTATCTTCTCCTGCACATCTCTCAGATTGGTCTGAAAGCCCAGGGGAGGCGGTTGTGGGCACCCCGTCCCAGTTATGAAGGATTTCTGTCCAGGCTGCCCACCTAAGCCATTTAAAAGCATGTGCGGAAGGCTGGGCCGAGCAGCAGGAGTCTGAGTAAGGAGAGAACTTGTTCGAGAGTTTGATCAGAAGCTGAGTTCTTCCCTCACTGCTGGTACCTCCCCCTGGGGCTTTTCTACCGCCTGAGTGTCAGGAGAGATGAGGCAACGTCCATCACATGGCCCTTCCCCAAATTTGTTGGGTCAGGTGAACTGAGATCCAGCCCTGAAAATCCAAGACATCAAGTAGACCCTGACTCTTGGTGACCCTGTGGGTGTCTGGGCGGCACCGTGCCCCCAAGGGTGTGCTTTCTTAGGAAGGGAATTCCCAGGCATTTCTTCCAAGAAACATCTGGGTGGACTTGAATGCCCAACTTATTGGTTAGCAGCCCAGAGACTGCCAAAAGATGACGCCCCTAGCTAGCGGAGATGGGTGAGCTCTTGGCTTTTAATCCAAGTTGCCTCTGAAAAGAGGTCTGGCGCTGACCGGCCTGTGGAGCAGAGCCTGCCGCCCTGAGTCGGGGCAGACACCACTGCAGTGGCTCGGGCGGTGGTTCTGACCCATAGCGACCCTATGTACAACAGAACATAGGTCCTGCCAGGTCCTGCACCATCCCCACAATGGTCTCCGTGTTTGAGCCGGAGCTTGCAGGGGCCAGCACGGAGCTCAGGACATCTCCCCTCAGGCTGTCCACCTTCGCTCAGAGCTCCCAGCGATCACACCCTAAGGGGAGCGTCTGTGACCTTGAACCCCTCTGTTCTCTCCCAGGGCGAGCCCGGCAGGGATGGTGAGCCTGGGAGGCCCGGGAACACGGGACCACCTGGAGAAGAGGTAAGACGTGGACAGGCCAGAGGCCAGATCCCCAAGGGGGGTCAAAGAGTGAGCCCAGACTGGAGATGAGAAGACCGAACAAGCCCAGAATGTTCCTCCCCTAGGGTGATGCGGGAGAGGCTGGCCCTCCAGGAGAGAAAGGAGAAGCGGGGGACGAGGTAAGCAGCACCCCAGTGCCTGTCCCTCCTGCTCTGGGCCCCCAACGCCGCTGCACCCAGGCGCCCGCTGCAAACTGACACCTGCCTGTTCCCTTTCGTTGCAGGGGAATCCAGGACCAGATGGACCCCCAGGGGAGAGGGTGAGTGTCTCGTGGGTGACACCGTGGATCCACCTCTGCCCTCTACACGGAGTCGCACAGAGGCTGGGATGCAGGCCTCCCAGGGCTCCCACCCCTACCCCTCTGAGCCATGGGGGTTGCTGGCTCAGCAAACACCCCAGGCAGGACAGCGGAAACACCCCAGCAACCAATAATCATATGCGGAGTCCCTGGATGTGTGGCATTTCACACACTGGGCAGCCAATTGAAAGACTAATGCTCTGAGTCTGTCCCGAGGTACATCAGAGGAAACGCCTGGCTATCTATTCCCAAAGCAGCAGCCACTCAAAACCTTCTGGAGAGGAATCTGGGAGTACTCCCCCTGGGAACCAGCGACCAGGACCAGGCCTGGCTATCTGGGATCTGTGGGCGCACAGACTCGGGGGCTCTGGAAGGAGGAGGGGTCTGATGAACAGGAGAGCCTGGTCTTGGGAACTCTGGGGTGTGAGGCAGAGAGGTGGCTCCGTCCTGGGGTGTCCTGTGGGGTGGGTGCCTTCTAGGCTGAGAGCCCCAGCATACACCGCAGCTCCCCGCCTTCTCTCCACACAGGGTGGCCCTGGAGAAAGAGGACAGCAGGGGACGCCTGGCGTTCGGGGCCCCAGAGGAGACCCGGTGAGTCACTTTCTGAGTAGGGACTCCCTCCTGGAGGACACAGTACTAGGCCATCTCCTGTCCCCCTCATACACCCACTGTGGGCCCCAGCAAGGCCCTTCCCCACTGGATGTGCCCTGGTCCTGGGGAGGTCCCTGGGATCGCCGGGGATGGGCTGCCAGACCCCTTTCACCAGGACCCCTTGGACTGGGTAGACATGTTCCTTCTGGGACCCCAGATGGGGAGGGGACAGAAGGCAGTGATGGGTGGGTGGTGAGATCCCGGTAGAAGTTTGTGGCCCCTCCCTACTCCCTGTGGCCCTAGAACCTCCTGTCTAGGTAGGGAGGCACCACAGAGCCAGGGTAACATGCCCTCTGAACCCCTTTCGAATTCTCCCCACCTGAGATCAGAGGTCTAGACCCAGGGGCAGGGGCTGGGGCTTTAAAGGCTTCACACTTCCCAACCCTCAGAAACTGAGACATGGGGAGGCCAGGGGACAGTGGCAGGACAAAATCCAAGAGCTGCCCTGTGAGTCCCCTGAGCAAGAGCCCTGCCTGCCAAGAGCAGAGCCCAAGGTCGGTCTGACGGCACCCTCCTGCCCCACTCGGCCTGCCCAGCCTGTGGCTGCCCCCCTCCACCCCCAGCCAAACCCTACGCATGAGCACACAGGGCATTTCTCCCCAGGGTGAAGCTGGACCCCAGGGTGACCAGGGAAGAGAAGGCCCAGTCGGTGTGTCTGGAGACCCGGTAAGGACCCTGGCTGAAGGGTGGACAGGGGCTGTTTTCACAATGAACCAGGGTGGCCAGCACAGGCCCTGGGGCCGAAGGGCCCCCTTGAGTTTGGCCCCCTCTACCTGGCCTGCAGGGGGCTCCTGGTGGACAATGTGATGGGGTGGGGGATGACAGGTGGTAGCCTGAGATGGGATGGGAGCTGTGTGGTGAGGGGCTGGTTCCCATGGTGCCTGATGCTCAACCACAGGGCCCAGACCTTCAGGGCAGCAAAACACCACCCTTCCCAGAGACTGGGCAAGAACTGGGGGCACTGGATTCAAGGGGGGACACAGCAGCATCAGGTGTCTGGGGGGCTGTCCACTGGGAAGGGCCAGGGGGTCAAGGCAGTGCTTGGTAGTGCCTGGTAGATCAGGAGGCAGGAGATATCCCTGGATGAATCCTTGGTCCCAGGACCCGGACCCGGGGATCATGGGGACATGAGGTGCTTTGCATGGAATTTGTGTCACCTGGTGGGGACAGCGCTCAACTGCTGCCTGCTGGCCTGGTGTGAGAGCCTTGCTAGAGGTAGATTTGAGAGTGTTGATATAGCAAGCTTTGAGACCCCCCCATGTGTGAATGAATCCTTCCAGGCAGGGAAGGAGGGTGCAGGCCAGAGAAGGAGCCCAGCTGGGATGGGAGGAGGAGTTGGGCCCCAACGCTGACTCTGGGGGAGGAGGGGTGAAGGAAGGGAGACAGGAACCCTGCAGAACACCTGCTCAGGTGTCACAGGTGCTCAACGAGAGGGCGGGGCAGGAGGATGGACGAGTGAAGAGCTCGGAGAACAGGGTCAGAGCACGTCGGCTGTGCGGCATGTGAGACTCAACAAGCAAGTGTGAGGTTGGTTGTGCGTGTGGGTGTTCGAGGCCTGAGCGCTGTAGACCCACTGCTGTCCCGGGGCCTGACAGCGAGCTGCTGAGGGGCCTCCTGCCCCCTTCTTGGCCAGCTCCCTCTTGTTAATCTCCCTCGATGCCCCAGGCCGGGGACCTGTGAGCCTGTGAGCCACAGGCCTGTAGCCGGGGTCCTTTTGCGAGAACGTGGAAAGATGGGCTGTGCCCGTTTCCCTTGGCTGCCGTACCAACACACCACAAACGGGTGGTGTTCTGCCACCAGCAGAAACGTATTCTTTCACAGTTTGTGAGGCTAAGCATCTGAATTCAGGCCTTTGAGAGGTCATCTGTACCTGTCCTCTCCCAGGAAGGGTTCTCCCTCATTCATCCCCACTCCCGCTCCTCACAGGCCTCTCGTGGTTTCTGGGTGTGTAGACACACCTTAACCTGTGACCTCCCTTCACACCCCCTCTCAGGGTCCCTTCATGAGGACACCGTGCAGAGGGACTAGCTAGCACTCACCCTGCTCCTGCCTGACCCCATGTGGACCGAGCCAATAGCCTTGGCAGAGACCCTGTTTCCAAGCAAGGTCCCGTGCATCGTCATGGGTGTAAGGTTAGGACACAGCACATCCTTTGGGAGGCCACAGTTCAGCCCATAACACAGGGTGCGGTTTAGCGGCAGTGAGCGTGGATGGGGCTGCGATGTCACTGGGCTCTGTTGGCCATCCTTGCTGCTGGCATGGTCTTATTTACACTTGTGGCTCTGAGGACATCCCCCCGCCCCTGCCCTGCCCTACCCACCCAGCCCAGCGGGGGTGAGGGAGGCCTTAGTGTGTGATTGCTGTATGGATGGGAGACCCCCTGGCTGTAAAACCCATTTATGTCATCTTACAACCAATTAGACAGGTTGGAGCACATGCTTGTTGACTAGAACCCCCAGCCCTGGGCCCTGCTCTGTTTCTCACCTGGAAGGTGCCCAGGGCCCCGTAACACTGTCTGGGGGGCCCGCTTACACACATTCCTGTACTCTGAGAGTCTCCCAGCATGCTGCTGGGCTTTCAGAGCAACTCACCTCCAGCTTCTCACCTCCCAGAACCCCCTGCCTGTGCTCTCGCCTGTCCCAACACCTGCCCCACCCTCATCCCTTAACCTGGGGCCCCAAGGTAGGGCCAGACAAGTGCTCGTCAAAGACAGGTCATCCCCTGGTGTCCCCACACCACTCTGCTGGGGCCATCTTCAGGGTAAGGTGTGCTGCTTGGCCTGGGATGGTGGGGGACTCAAAGTGGGGAGGGTGTGGAAGAAGCAGCCTTGGAGCTGGGCCTGGGAGTTTCCAGAGGATGGGTCCAGGCAGGAGGAGGGTCTCTGTTTGGAGCTGGAAACAGAGCCGGATGTGGAGGCGGTGCTGATCTCCGGGCATGGGGGGTGGGGTGGGGCATGTGGCTGGAGGGAGCTCGCTGGAGCTGGGTGAGGGCTAGAAGAACCAGGCACAGGCCCTGAGGGGGCTTAGTCTTTGCACGCTTTTTGTTTCCCTCTTCTTCCGCAGAGAAATTAAGAATCATAGCTTCTAAAAAATGAATTAAGAAAAGCGAGAAACAGCGGCCAAGTGCAGCAAACAGAGCAGTGTAGCCCATAGAGTGCTCAGCCCTGCTCCCGGGAGGTGGGGAGAGGGCATGGGCCCCGTTATGAGATAAAGGCGGGCACCATGCAAGACCGGGAGAGCTTAACGGAAAACGTTCCCTGCACATTCGTTAAAACCATCTGCTTTCCCAGAGCTGGGGCCACGTGTGCACAGTGGTGGCATCTGGTGGGCTCTGGGGCTGTGTCCGCCCTGGAACCTGGGCTGCCTGCCCACCAGACCAGCGCGTGACCGTTCTGGCTCTCCTTCTTCCTGGCAGTAGAAAGGGATAGTGTGTCTCAAATAAAATAAGGCTCAGAAGGGCTGTGAGCACTTAGAGACTTCTATATAAATAGAAGTCATCCTACCACGTTTACGTTGTTTTAAGTAGAAGAAATGCATTCACGTGGCTAAGACTAACGGGGCTTGCTCCACCAGGAAAGACACAAAAAGAGTGACGTCACTGGAGTGGGTGCTGCCCAGTGCGGTCCCTGTTGGTGTCATTGCCCCTCTCCCAGTGGGCCTCCTCCTCCACCAGGCCTTACAGCAGTGGTTTTCCACCTTTCCTCAGGCCACGACCCTTTAATACAGTTCCTCAGGTTGTGGTGATCCCCAACCATAACACTGTTTTTGTTGCTGCTTCATCACTGTCATTTTGCTACTGTTATGAATCAGATAACCCCCATGAAAGGGTCGTTTGACCCCCCCCAAAGGGGTCATGACCCACAGGTTAAGAACCACTGCCTTACAGGATCTTCATTAAATGTTTGTTATCAAGGCTGATCATAGAATCCTGTGCGGCAACTATCTGGGAATTGCTTAAATGTCGTATTTCGTAGGCTCAATGAATACGGACAATAATAACAACAACAAAATTGTGCTATCTTTCTACTTTGACGGACAGCGTTTTAGTAGCTGAGTGAGAGCCTTGTTGATTGGTCCCTTTTTCCTTTAGCTACTATTTCAGTCTCAAAAAAAGTTACTGCTATAGATTCACAAATACTAATTACTACAATATCGTACCTATCTATCTAGTCATGCATCCATCCATTCACCCACCAGCTCAGCCATTCTGTTATCTACCCACTCGCCCATCTGTTCATCCTTCTACCCACTCCTCCTGCCACCTGTTGCCCTTCTAGCTTATTGGTTCACCCACCCATCCATTCTACTGTTGATGTCCCATCTGTCCATCCGTCTATCCATCCATCCACCCATCCATCCATCTATCCATCCATCCATCCATCCATCCATCCATCCATCCAGTCATATTATTGTTGTTCAGTGCCGCCGAGTTGGTTCCAACTCATAATGACCCTATGCTCAGCAAAAGGAAGCACTACCCAGTCCAGTGCCATCCTCACAGTCGTTGTTACCCATATATACATATATGAGCAACATCGAGATATCATGTATGCGTACATTTATAGACACACATTATCTACGTATTTTATCTATTCATTCATCTATCCACTTTTCCATCTACCCACTCATCATCCCTTCCTCATCTGTCTGTTCATTCATCCGTCCCTCGTCCATCTATGTATTCCTCAATCTCCCAAGATGGTAACGCAGCACCTCCACCAACGCTGGATCCGGTCAGACTTCCAAGGCCGGTGTCGCTCCGTCTCAGGCGAGAAGGTGTCTCCTGCTGCAGTTGACACTGCTCTTTCCACCTTCCCGGGTCCCCCGCACTTCTCCATCTGCCTGCTCACACCCCACCAATTTCCTTTTCCCACGCACTCGGCATGTCCCTCAGGTGGATGTGTGCGAGACACTTATCACCCTGAGATTTCCCCCCAGCCTGTCACCTGGCTTCTGACTTTGTTTACGGCCCCTCTAACGTGTAGGAAGTGATGCTGGGTCATTGAATGCTCCTGGCCTTTCCTCCGTGGCTTCTGGTTAGAATGTTCTGCTCGATGACACGGCTGCAACACGTCCCCTTATGTGTGTTGCATTTCGGTGGTTAAGCTTTGCTTCGTTAGGACCGGGTGCTGTTGGGCTAGCAGTTGAGATGAGATCTGGCTTGACCTTTTCTGCACAGGGTGAGCTGGTTGTCACAGATGATGGGTTGCATGAGCTGGCCTTCTGCGAGTGGTCGAAGGGACCGTTACCCTACTTTAAACTCCTTGTGGCATGTGCGCCTCTCCTAGAACTCTTCTTAGACAGCCATCATCTCCCCATTGCTCATCTGATTCCAACAATTGTGATTTGTGGAGCCGTAAGAATTTTAATTGTGGGGATGGGGAAAGAAATAGTATGCTTTACTGGGCTTGCTGGGAGGTACGGACAGCTAAACGTGCTCGGCTGCTGTCTGAACGCCTCGCCCTTCAAGTGTGCGATAAAGCCCTTAGAAGAAAGGCCTGCGGATCTACTTCAGAAAACCAGTCATTGACAACCCCGCCCGCGGGGCCTAATTCTACTCGGACACAAACTCGGTTGCCTTGAACTGGGATCAACTCAATACCAGCTAGTCAAATCATCCTCTGGGACCAGGCCAGCTGGCCCTGCTCCCCACATGCTTTGAGGCTTCTCAGGCATCCAAGCCTCTGGACAGCCACTCTTGGGGACACGGGAGAGCCAGTGCTCTTGGAGGTGGCCTGGCTTGAAGGTGAAAACAACCTTGACACCACATGGCTGGGGCTGTTGAATCATCAGGAATGAGCTCAGATCCAGAACCAGGGCAGCTGCTTGAGTTCGCTGGTCTCCTACGAGAGGAGTGGGGTCCTAGGGGGAGGTGAGCGCCGTCCTCCTCGTCGTAGCCAGGCTTCTATGGAGAGAAGGCATGTGTGACAGCAAATCAGAGGAAAACTGCGTGCATGGGTCGAACCAGGACAGGCCTTGGCAGGTGACGTCTGCTGGGCTGGCCACTCGCAGGCCTGATCTTCATGTGCTGATCTTGGCAGGGGAAGGAGAGCCCCAGACACGTTCCTTGGGACATGTGTGGCCCTGACTTCTGATCTTCCTGCTTCTTCTCAACCTCTTGCTGCTCCCAGACCTCAGGGCCGGTCTCCACATGGTCTGCCCTGGGTGAAGACCATGCTGCCAAGGACTGAGGGCTTGGAGGCAGGCCCCCCATCCATCCCCACAGTATACTGGGGATGGGAGGAGACTATCTGGGACAATTTCTGGGCTTTCATGCCTCAGATCTGCCAAGCGCCCAAGCCCACCTTGATTTCTCTCTCTAGATCCAACCCCACCCCAAACTGGTGCTGTCTCCTCTTCAGAGGCTCATAACCAGAGCAAAGATGGAACAGGATCTTGATTTTCAACAGCAAAGAAAACATGTAGATGGAACTGCCTCCCCCCATGGCAGCATCCTTGGGACACACTCGGGATTTGGGAGCAGGGTTGATCCTAGCTGCTGGAACGACTCCCCTAAGTTCCCTGTGACAGTGTGTAAAAAATGGTTTGAGGCATCTCTAGCACAGAAGACTAAGACCTGAGCCTGACGATCTAGTGAGCGCAGGACCGGGCTTGCGCAGCTCAGCCTCATAGCCTCTGCTTGTGTTGGGTTTCCTGTTTTCCATGTAATGAATTTGCACTGGTGGGAGGGAGGTCAGCTCTGCTGGGATCGTGGCTATGCTGTGCATTGAGCTGCGATGCTGTCTGCTCCCGGCAAGGGTTACAGTCTCAGAAACGTGTGTGAGGTAGTTAGTTCTACCCTGTCCTTTCGGGTCGCTGCGAGTCAGATTCCATCCATTGCAGTGAGTTTGGCGAGTTGAGTTGGTGGGGGGGGAGGACCTTTGATGTGCAGTGGGTTATGGGTGCAGCTGCTAATCGCAAGGTCAGTGGTTCAAACCCATCGTTCACCGCATTGACTCTGTCAATAAGGAGGGGGTCAATATGAGTCAAAATCAGTTTGATGGCAGGGATGGACCCTGCCCACGGTGTCCCTGTGGGTGAAATGTTCAGCTGATAAACCAAAAGGTGAGCAGTTCAAGCCCTCCAGATCCTCTTGGGTAGAAAGATGAGGCTGTCTGCTCCCATAAAGACTTACCATCTCAAAAAACCCAAGGAGCAATTCTACTGTCTTTCCTCCACCCCCATATTTTTATTGGCATCGAATGCACATATCATGCAATGTAATCATTCCATCATATTAAGAAGAGTTGTGCTGCTTAAGACATCCCCACGATTGAGTCCAGGACATTTTCTTCTTTCTTGTACTCACTGTTGTTAGCCGCCCCCTCCCTGCAGCCTTCCCCTGCCGTTCCCTACTCGGTAATGAATCATGAATCTAGAGTTACTCTCTCTATAGATTTACCTATCCTGGATTTCATATACAAAACAAAACCAAGAGACAAAATAAATAATAGTCAACAACAATGACAAAACAGAAAAACTTCAATTGAAGTGAAAGTAAAGAATATTAAAAACTGTAACAAATTTAAATTGGGTCAAAGGGAAGATCAAATGATAAGGCATTACCTTTTAACCTGACTGCAGCAACCGTAATCAATTTCACCCTGGGTCTCTCTGATAGCAAGGTGATTCACGTCTCTGGACCATGGGCAGAGGCTTGATCCTCCTGCGGAGGTGGGACTTCCACCTTCCTCCATAGTCTTCTGCACACTGAGCGCTCAGAATTTCAGCTCGGATACCATTCCCTTCTCTGGATTTGGATTTTATTATTTATAATCCTGGGATCACACAGGCTGGTGTGTTTCTTTCATGTGGACTTAGTTGATGCCTAACTTAGATGGCTGCTTGTCCTGAGACAAGCCTTTAAGAGCCCAGGTGTAAACCTTTCTGATAGCCAGACACCATCTGATTTCATCAGCACACTTTGCTCTAGCACCCATAACTTCAAGTGATCTCATGAGGGTGCATACCAAGTAGAGCCATCCATGTTGTATGTACTGATTGTCCTTAGATTTGTGCTAGGATTGTTTACTCTGTCTTATATATAGGACTGCCATGAGTCAGCATCCACTTGATGGCAGTGGGTGTGGTTTTAGTCTGGAGGAGGAAACAAGGACGGTATTAGAGTAAGAGGATGAGATGGAGCCTCACCATCTCCAAAGACACCTGCTACTGCAGGGTGGGCTGCACACATCTCTGTGGGGAGATCTCACCTCCACAGAACCTGCAAAGTCCCAGAGATGCAGTTTTGTTCCTGAGGAGTCTCTCGGTCCATCCTGATTCATCCCCACCCCCCACCCCCAGTGAGATGGACATGTATTCACCTGACTCTCCAGGAGCAGAGTGGACGGGCAGGTGGCTCTGGAGCTGTCTTCATCCACACTGGCCCACAGCCTCCCGGCCCTCCCAAACCCAATATGGAGTGTGTGTGTGTGTA